GAGACAGTTTATTCATGGAGTCCATATAGCATGTGTTCAGGCAGGGTAAGAAAATACATTCCGGTAATATACTCCTGTAACTTTTGTGTACTTATATATTTAACCAATAGGATGTTTCCACAGTTGATTTTTTTTTTTTTTTTTTTTTACAAGCCACTGCAGGAAAAGAGACAGTCTAAATAATAAAACTGATGATGGCTGAATTAAATTTAGCTGCTTTATTGTCAGAGCTGGCTTACTGTGATACTTGAACAGAACCCCCATTAATTTTATTAGTAACACCTGTGCTCTTTTGTGCTATGACAAGAAAAATGTCTGCTGTGACAAATCTGTTGTCTGCTTTTGAAACTGGTAAAATGAGTTTCTTATATTTTTTAATGAAAAGGAAAATCACTTATTGTGGATATATTGCAGGTATTTGGTGTGGAAATAACAGTTTAAGCTACTGCTGACCTATCAGGTTCTTAACCACAACTAAACTCGTGTTTGCATTTCTAAATTTTAAATAGTATTTCCATATAGAGGGAGCTATCGGTGCTTCTTTGTTGGTTTCATTATGATGCTTACATATAAACATCACCAACATTAGCAAATAACAGTCTTGTTTAAGACACTTGCGTCCTTATTTTAGAGTATATATTAGGAAAGTTACTAGTTACTTTTCATAACCAGATTAATATAAAAATGACAGCATATTCATAAAAGTTTATTAATCTCTGGCGACAAATTCACAAGATACCCAGTAGTATATAAAGTACTTCAAATTATAAGCATATGAGCTTGTTAAAACTAGCTCCCCCTTTACCGGCTGCAACATTAAATGTGATTAACACAATGCATCAGCAATCATGCTAATACTTTGTACTTTTACTTAAGTAACAGTTTGAGTGCAGGACTTTTACTTGTAGCAGAGTATTTTTACACTGTGGTGCTACTTTTACAGTGATCTGAGTTCTTCTTCCACCACTGGGTAACAGGTCTTATAGTAAAAAAAAAACTCATTAAGCTGAAAAGCTGTGTAGTGCTGAGGGGAACCACAAAGTTTTACAGATTACTAATGCATCTTTAATGCATTAAGCCTGACAATACAGAGATAATAAAGATGTCACAGTGACTCAACCCATACTGCCGAGCTTTTGCAGTGCTATACCAGGCGTTTCCTGCTCTTCACATTTATTGACACTACACGGAGTTTTGCCATTGAAGCAGCAGATCTTAAAAGTAGCAAAGGGAGATTTCAACCGCAGTGCTTTTCATTGACATGTTCATCAAACTGTCATGGTCGAGAAGTAGAAAAATCTCATTTATTTCTTTCTGCGAGCATTGGTGGGGGCTCAAATCCTGCTGCCACAGAGCTAACTGCCCCTTCATCTCTGTATTCCTTTCTGCCCCTTCTACTTTTCTGTCCCTTTCTCTCTCTATCTATCTCCCTCTGAGCTTCTCTTTGTTTGGCAGTGATTTGACCAAACAAAACAGGGTATCTCAAAAGCAAGGTGACTGCCAAAGGTGATTTTTCAGCCTGACTGCCAGGACACAATGAGTTTTAGCCCAAATTTTCATTCCTCCAACTGGGAGCTTTAGATGAAAATAGAACTGTCCTCTGCACTCAGATTTGTCACCCATCACCGGCTCTGTTATTCCATAACCCAGCACCCTTAAACGTACTGCCCTGAATAATGAGTTCATAATATACGTAATGTTGGTGTTTGTACTGTTGGACTGTTTGTGACTTCATTTGTCGCATTAAAAAAACAATACAAGGAAAGTATGTATTTGTTTCTGTCCCTAAATGGTAGCCTGAAGTAAACTTACAGACCGTCTGATTACAGTCAAGGCAGATAAACATGCATAGTGTGTTTACTGATATCACATTTGTCAAGTGGTGGTTGCATGCATGTTATGACTATTTGTAATTTACTCATAGGGTTAACTTGCTTACCTCACCTGGGCAGTGGAGTGTCCTGAGGAGGGAGGGGCACAATGCAATCCAACCCTGTAGCAATCAGTTATGGTGTTTATGTGCAGCTTTTGACTTGAAATCTACTGACTGGGGCATGTCCCCTTTCATTTGACATCAATGTGAAATCAAACAATTCTCAGCAGAGACCTCAGGCACTGATCAAGGTCAGGGGCTATTACGTCTGAACTTAGACTGATGAGCACTTTAAAGTTAACAGCCTTTAAACTGAACAAGGGAGATGGAGAATAGAGAGGGGGTGTGAGGGAAAATGCAAGAATATAAGTTAATGTGCCTTTGCCATGGCAAGGGACACTGATTGCGCCGGGAAGGTAAGGCTTCCCTGAGTCAGTTGGAAATATCATTAATCCAAGGTTGACCCGGCCTGCATTTTGCACGGCCCTGCCCACAGAAGTTTATTATCCAAGAGGAGGCTGTCTAAGCAGCAGGCAGGCAAAGGAGAGGCTATGTACTTTTCAAAAATAACCGAGCAGCACTTCCTTTTGAACCTTCCTGAAGACAAATTGGCTTGGATCAGCAGCTAGGCAGCTGGCTGATGGAGAGGTGAGATGTATAAGGCCCATGTGGGCATTTTCATCATGACAGCTTTTTGTTCTTTTTTTTTTTTCCACTTCTGCAGCATGTCACTTGCTGCAGTGTGTCATTGTGTCCTACTCACTCACATGCGCTATCACTCACCCACACACATTCAAAATACACTAACCATACAGTACAGTGCACTAGACTCGCACTAATCCTCACTTTAGACATGTACCACAATTGTGTTTGTGGATTACTGTCCTGTGGCAAAAGCAAAAGATCAGCACACATGGGAGTCTTAAGAGTCTAAATAAGAACAGTGCTTTTGTGTATCAGTGAAACACAACACAAAGACCAAGCAGAGAACATTTAACCCACCCTCAAATCTGCAAACTGGTTAAGGTGCAGCACATAAGCAAAATGCCCCATTTAAAGAACACTTAAATGCTACACAGTTGGATGCCCCAATACAATGGTTACATGTGGTGTACTGTCTACTCAAGCACAGTATCTACATGACATCAGTAGTTTGAGTCTGACTGTTGACCTTTGTTGCAAGTCTTCTCCTCTGCTACCCACTTTGAACATAATAATATATAAAGGCAAAATGCCCCAAAAAAGTACTTTTTAAATACATTTTATGGCTTAGCAAAACAAGTCTGTAAACCAATTACCTGGAAGATGTCATTAAAGTGTATGAAAGTATGTGGTTTTATTTGTTCTGATTTGTTTAATGATTCTACAGAGATTGGTGGGTTTATAGCCTGTGAATCACAAGACAAAAATCAGTGAAATGCACCAATCCTTACATGAGGTTATTCTCTACTGACTACTGAGTGTTTATAAAATATAGAGGATCCCATCTATACGAAATATCATTTTCTCAACCAAATTAAATCTGTTTACACTGTGAGCTTGTGGACTGTGAGGAAGTTCTGACTGGAGTTGTTTACTGTTTACTGTCATTCAGATACATTTACTAGAGGCAGATCATTGTGTTACTAAATGAATACTGAAACAAATCTACCCTAAATGCCCTAAAACATTACTCACTGTTTTATATTTACAATGAATCATATTAATATGTGAAAATGATATAGTGACATGCTCACTGGGAACGGTCACCACCTTTACAGTTTCCCTCAGCTCTATGGAACATTTTAGCCTATTTTTAACATTTGTACATACCCAGAAAGAAGCAGCAGACAGATACCATTAATTAACATAATGAAGAATTTTACAGCAAAAGTGTCAGCTAACTTTTTTTTAGGAGGTGGAGACCAAATCCGAGCCAAAAAGAAAATGAATATTGAACTTACATTCAGTCCAATATTTACAGATGACCAAAAACAGTCCTAAATAAATGCTGTTCTCTAACACAATTGCCAGGGCCTGTTGACATTTTTAAGGTGGTGATAACAAATTTGATATTGTTCTAACTATATAACTAACTTTAGCACTTTACTTCAAAATGCTTTTAGCAAATATGTCTTATGTTTTGGCATTTAAACATTTTTAAATTCTATAATTGTTAAAATATGTAACAGCTAAAAATGCTTTAAATGTATCAATTTAAAATGATTAAAAATAGTGTGATAATTCATTTATTGCCCTATCAAACACGTTTTAATGTTTCGGTATTTATGTACAATGCCGATAAAAAGTGTTCACTCCCTTGGATGTTTTACCCTTTTATTGATTTTATATATCAATCATGGTCAATATAATTTGTCTTTTTTGACAAAAAAAAACGGTCACCTTTTTTTGTCAAAAAAGACAAATTATATTGACCATGATTGATTCATAAAACCAGTAAAAGGGTGAAACATCCAAGGGGGTGAATACTTTTTATAGGCACTGTATGTGCATTTATATGACTCCCTTTTTCAAAGCAGTCAGACTGTCAGGATCAAATATTTTATTTGATATACCATATGACATCATGTGCTTGAATTTAATGTTTAAATAAAAGCCTTAGGGCAAAATCTACTGAAAAACATGAACTGTGATGAGTAAGTGTAATAAAAAGAGTTTGGACTTACAGTAGTATACATTGGATTAGTACATTCAAAAATACTAAGCTAAACATACAGAATATCAATTTGGATGTATAATTAGACAATCATTTTCATAAGCACTTGGGAGAAACATTAGACTTGAACTTAGCTGTCCATTATATTTGGATGTGCTGTAATGGAATAATTGATCTCTCTTTTAATTTGGAATAGCAGTGGATGACAATGTCACCAATGTCACAATGTCAACACTTACTGAAGACCTAAATTGTTCCAAGCTGTCACCCTCTATTTTTTCTAAGTGAGATGCACTTGATATTTTGCAGAGTGCAGTGGGTTTGTACAGTCCAGTGCAGTTTGTACAGTACAATAAAAGAGAAGTGAAGTGCATGGCAGGCTGCTGTAAACAACAAGAGTGAAACAATTTCCTCCACAAAATGGCTGTACTTCTTTGCTCTTGTGTTTATTTCTGTTTATTTTTTTGGCAGGTTTGGCAGTTCACCAGATAATCACAATCACTGTGTCACTCATTATGGTCATCGCAGCCTTGATCACAACACTTGTCCTTAAAAACTGGTAGGAAAGATTCCTTTACTTTTTACTCATAAAGAGATTAACTGTAGAACCTCACTGCTGGTCAGACATCTTTGTAGATGATCAGAGATACAAGGTATGATTTTATGTTTGTTTCTTGTCTTTGGTGCGTGTTTTTGTAGCTGTGCACAGTCGGGAAATGGTCGCCACAATAGCCATCAGCGCAAGATCCACCAGCAGGAAGAAAGTTGCCAAAACCTGACAGACTTCACCCCAGCCCGGGTACCGAGCAAGGTGGACATATTCACTGCCTACAATGACAGTCTGCAGTGCTCGCATGAGTGTGTTCGGACTGCCGTGCCCATCTACACTGATGAGATGATCCAGCAGACACCTGTCTACAAGACTGCCTACAACGGCAACAGGTACGCTGGCCCAGGACTGTTTATTGCTGTTAGTATAAGATCTCTTCAACTAGTCAGCACCGGGAATCCATACCATTAAATACCTTTACAATGTCTGCGTCCACTACAGTTATTACCATGACTGTTACTAAAGTCTAATAGCCTAAATATCCTCGCTGAAAAGTTGCATTAGATCAATTTTAAATGGGTTAATAAATAAATGTCTACCCTTTTCCTTATAAAAATGTTTTCATGCAAGAATCAATGTGATAACTTGATGCATGAAATTATAAAGCATTAAAAAGATAAAATATACAGATGATCAGTCCTCAAACTCTTCTCCCTCCTTGTGTTGCTACTTGGAAGCAGTCAGTTTCAGTTAGTGGTTTGTTGGAGCAAATCCACCCACCAATTAGTTGCTTTTAATACTGCTGTCCATCGCCTCATTCCTTGTCCATCTGCCTGACACCTGGAGTGCTGGCTGAACACTATCCCTCTGAGCACTCAAGCTGCACACAGAAATATAAATCTACCATTAATTTTGGTTGTTGTGTAATGAGTCAGTTCATAGATGTAGGGCAGTGGGATGTGAAGCCTTTACAGTGGCATTTTCTGTCTAACTGATCTTTCTGACAGCATTTCAAATGGAAGAAACAGTACTTAGGTACTGTAAATATACTGCATATATATTTTAAAAAGTCTGCACACAGCATATTTACCAATTCAGCCAGTCCTCTGCTGCTTTATACCAGAGGAGAGGCAGTTAAACTGACAAGGCAGGTGTGTTTCACATAGAATCTGGACTATTGTGGTATTAAACTGTCATTATATGGGTAGAGTGACAGTAAGCTTGGTAGCGCGTTTACTGTCTGAGTGGATAACAGTAACATTCATCTAAGCTGCAAGGCCAGCAAAGATGGTCACACTTGCTCTGTTTCTAAAACCTGTAACATATTCATTATGCTGACCTTGTGGATAGGATAACTCATCTGGAGTAAGTAGACCAAAGTGTCTGGATGCGTTTATTTAAAGGTGCTTTAACTAAGATTTTACACATTTTTGGATAAATAGAGTTAAATTGGGACAGGACGTGATGTCTCTCAGCTCTACTACCAACCTCCATGACACTCTGCTGCCTACAGGCCTTCTGTTGTTATTCCTGCTTCTCTACCTTCTGTTTTGATAGTCAGTCCGGATATTAGCTCTGCCTGCCACCTAGCAAAGGTTATAAGAAGTGCGATAGTCATTTTAGCCAGTCACAGAGGAGTTCTAAGCAGTTAAAAGTACAAAACTGTGGCTGCCAGACTAAAGAGGTGCTGTTCCTTTACAAAGAAAGAGTGGGACAAAGAAAGAGTAAAAACCCATATCAACATTGCTTTGGCTTTTTGAGATGGAGAAGGTTAAAAGCAGCCAAATGACTCCACTTGGATTCAGATGTGTTGTTCTTCCTTCCGGATAAGTTAGCATCTAAAGCTAATGTGTTTCTTTTGGTAACATTGCTGGTAACATTTTGGTAGCATGGATGTGATTTTACCCTTGTGCTGAATTAATATATTTTTTAATTTAGGATAAATCTAAGCTTCAATTAACATTAGTACTTTGCTAGCCCCATTTGGGACTGTCCTGTCAACCTCATCACTTGACATTGTGCTGCTGCAATATTGCCGTAGAGATGGAACTTATTAGTGAGCTCGCGGTAGCTTTGGACCAGTGGCTACAGTCTGTACAGTTTGTCCCAACCAGTCATCCACAGACAACAGTTTGTTTTGAGTTTCAGACCCTCTAGCAGCAAAAAAATAACTTAGTTAATGCACCTTTAAAATCATGGAAGGATGGCTACATCTTTACTGGCTTTTTTTTATATTTTGCAAAACACTGCTACTATAATATTAATTCATCTAGGATTTTTATCCCCAGTCAAGGTCTCAATATGTGATTATCTCTGTGTGTTTCTGTGTAGCCAGTGGTAACATGCTCACTGTGGCACTAAAGGCTAAATAGGAAGATTATCAGGCCTTTGAGGAGCTATGGTGTCTATTAAAATTTTTTTTAAATATAAATATGATATACAAGACAGATATAAACTAGCATACTGAATCCTCTTCATCAAATGTTCTAACTTCTTGCATGGCCCTCCCACAGGCCCTCCCCCACCGAAAGACAACTGATTCCTGTGGCCTTTGTGTCAGAGAAATGGTTTGAGATCTCTTGTTGACACGCTTAAGGCCTCCTTCACTTCCTGTGGGTGGAAGAGACTTTCTGAATTCACACTCTGGTGGGTACAGTGCCACTTTGTCCCCTTGCAAATCATCATCTGAGTCATTGCCACCTTGATCCCCACAGTGATGCTGCCCCACTTTGGGCATAGAGGGGGACTTGGCATATGTTTGTTATTTGTGACATGATTATGTTCCTTTTCATTTTCTGTGCAGTGAGGAAAAAGCTTTGTGAAATCCAGACTAGCTAATCATTTATATCCACCTCAGTATTAATAAGCTATGTTCTCACTCTTCATATCTAGAGCATTCTCATTAACATTTATGACACATATTGTTTAGAACAATTCTAGGGTTAGAGGAGCACTTTCACTTGGCTTGTGACACATTTTTATGCATGGCTGATATATGCTAGAATGACCTGCATTTGTAATTCAAAGCATGAAAGTTAAACACATGCTCTGGCCCCACAGTGTTGCTGGAAGCCTGAGGGGAGGTGTAACATCTGCTACTGACCCAGATTTTAAAAGGAATAGATTGCCTGCAGGTAGCGTAATGAGAGGACAGCGCCCTGCCATTGTCTGCACAAAAATTAATCTTGAGCCCTTTTCAAACATGGGATACGTAACATTTCCGGCATCATCAATCTGTTAAAGTGACAGCTTTCTATCTTTCAGACATACATCATTTTTATGCTAAGGGTGCTCATTCAGTCATAAAGCTGACAAGTTCAGATGCCATCAAATTAATGGAATGCCGTGTATGTCTGAAAGGGGCTTTACTCAGCTCAGCTCTCCACAGCGTGCTCCGAATGCTGTCTTGAAAGAAATAAGATCCCTTATCATCTTTACAAATCTAAAGTACTTCTTAAACTTAAGTATATGTTACAGAAGGCCTTAAAAGTACAGGTTTTTAATACAGCACTGCTGTTTATTTTGACTTGAGAAAAGCACAGGGTTGCATATTTTTCAGGCCAGTGCCGAATATCAATCTCCTCGATGTCAGTGGAAAGTATGCTAGCTTTGAGAATCCTGATTGTCTTGTTTTGTACTGGGCTCACAATGAGGGGTAATTGTGATTTTGTTCTCGCATCTTCACAGGATCCAGTTGGAAACAAGAAACACACAAAACAACTTCTTTTGTAAAAATAGTGTGATCACACTTTGGACACTGGTGAAGATATTTATTTTTCTAGAGATGACAAGCAGAGCAGCCAAAACGTTGCCCCTCCATACTGTATTTGCAGTCATTTAGATATAGATTATATATAAGAATATTTACAGGATGTGTGGGATGAGACTGTGGACGTCACAGATGTCTCAAGGAAAACATTTGACATTTGAGACAGAAACCCAAGGAGCTGCTGTGGGCAGAAGATGAACTGTATTTACGAACAATGTGCCAATAATGCCACTATGTGCCACAACCTGAATAGATGGACTCAAACTCTTTTTGTTTGTTTGTTTTTTAAGAAATGTGAAAGTTAAAAAAATGCTACAAATGTATTTCAATATGTTTTGAAATAGTTTTAAAAATGTGTCGCAAAAGAATTTGAAAGATATTTATATGAAGCACTATTCTATTAGTTGGAGAAGAACGAAGATGGGGAAAAACAGTATATGCTTTACTGAACAGTTGATTTTAAAATATCATTTCTACCAGTCCCATTTTAAAAACAGAATAGTTATGTCTATTTTTTTTACACAGAAGAGTCTGCCATAGCCCTAACAGTGGAGGTTCGAAGCACTTGGAATTCACTACTGTTAATTAAATACTCCCACTTGAGCTGATATAACAAAGAAAACCATCTGAATATACCTGATGCAAGCCAATTCAACGCCCGCTCTACAGTAACTGCTCATTATTTAAGATTTGTATCTGATTTGGATTAATGGAATAATAAACAAAAAGGTTTCTGTGGTGCAAGCTCACAGTTTAAATGAATCCCATAGCAGCCAATTCATGTATAGATCAAACAAGGACAGCCACAACAGACCGCATGGAGCTGGACAGGACGTTCATACTGCCTCAGGTCTATCTAGCTCTTTTGCACAATTTATGTTGGTCTCTGTCTCAGCAGCAATTTGAGATAAATTGTAATGATTGGAGATGATTCAGATCTGAGATGCAATACTAAAAGAGTGGAACAGATTGAATTTGAACTTCACCTTCAAATAATTCATGTGATAATTTGCATCAGCGGGAAAAAGACTGAAAAAATTAATCCCTCTACAGATATCAAATTAATATCTGTGCCCAACTCCCAGAGTGGTTCACTTCTGATAAATAATTTTTGAAATCTAAAGTCTGTATTCTAGGCAGAAACTAAAGAAAATCTGATTATCTTTAGTTTTTCCACTAATATTGGTGAAGAAGCTGTGACAAAGATGCTGCAAATCGGTGTCCCTGAGAATCAAAATAATCAGCAACATGTGATTATTTGCAGGATTTAAGCAGGAAAGAATTCCTTCCCTAAATGTGTCCTAATAAGTAAGTTAGCTCTCTCCAGAGCTGGGTCACTCAAAGACTTGAGGACAATATTTCTAGCATATCAGAAATTCAACTATCACAGCCAGGATGTCGAGGGTTGTGCACAAATGAAGCAGAGTGAAAATAGGAAACAAACCCAAAGAAAACAAAGCTACAACACTCTGCCAGTGCATTGGTAAAGTTAGGGGATTATGGCAAACCAGTGAGCCGCTGTCAAATTGGTCTAAACTATCTCCGAAGTGAAGGTGAGGGAACTCTGTGGTAAGGTAGGACAGTAAAGCTCTCCTGACAGCTTTCTAACACCAATAATTTTATAATCAGCCTCAAGCTCTTAAAGACAGATTACCTTTGTGCTGTGACACTTCTAAGGGAACCGCCAATGAATCTACCTTATATTGTGTTGTGGGTTTGACAAAGCACAAACATGATTCTAACTGTAAACATTTTTGGCTGCAGACAGCAATATGTACAGATTTAACGGGTAGGTGTTACTGCTTGTTGACAGGTGGGTCTTCAGTAATTCGTTTCGGTGGTTTTTAGGCTTGTACTCACTTCCTTAAAGGATTAAAGAAAACAGGTTGTCCCAGTGAGATCATTGTCAATAAATGTGAGCCATTACGGTGGTGCTAAGATGGCCTGGGATAAACACTGTGGTGCAAAACTCCTGCTTTTGCCCAGTCACAACATGAAAACCGCTCTCATGAAAGACCCATACCAGTTCAGCCCCACGTGTGTTTCAGGCTGTGGAGTTGCTTCTTTGACATAACATATATTTTTTGAATGAAGAATGTTACCTTAATAGTCAGAGGGTTACAAAATCGTACTGTATATTATACACGTGTAAATGTATTTTCTGTATATTTGCTTCTATTTGTGTACAGGTGTGTTCTATTTTTTCAAGACCTCTCCCGTTTCTGGGAAGGTTTCGGCTAGGTCGGGGATAGTGTCTTTGTTTACATGTGTAACTATAGTATCTCTTTCAAAACACAAAACTAACCTTGTGCCAAGCTTGCTACCTGCACTTTCAGGCAGTACTTGTATTATATCTTTAGCTAACCAGTATAATACTTCAGTAGGCGCTGCAATAGTTCAGAGAGTGGAGAATGATTTCCAGATGAAATGTCTGTAAGTAACAGTGCCAAGTGGTTCAAACAGGTGTTGTGATCATATCTTGGGTTCTGCTGCATTCATGGTTGGCTGGGAAACCAATGACTAGCTGTTCCTAACCATCATTTCTACTTTAATCCTAATACTCAGTGTATCATCATATGAAGGAAAAAAGTGTAAATCCAACATTAGCTGCCAAGAAACCAACTAAACTTGATCCAGACTACATTTGTTGTATTTCTGATGTTGTATTTGTATGTACATATTGCTACACCTGCCCCAGAAAATGTATCATTTTTCAAATACTTTGCTGTAATGACTGCAAAAACTAATATTAACATTTATGAGCATATAAAATAATCAGGGAAAGACATCTATAGAACGAATTTTGAACGAAATCTGGTGCGTGAAGTACTTTGGGTCTGCATTTTACTTTCAATATAACTGCTAAATTGACCTGGTTAAAAAAAAAATCCAGGATTAGACTTAACACTGATGTGGTAAGTCATTCACTTTTGTAATTAATCAAAGTATGTCAAGGATAATTTTGGTTTATTTCAACTTTGGCTTTATTTTTTTAAAGCTACACTATACTACGGTAGTACTTTGGCTCCAAAGACGGCGGTACTGGTCTGTCAGTTCAGTCAGTCCACCTGTGCCTGGTTACAGTCTCCATTAAGTCCAAGTACATGGCTACAACAAAATCTGACAGGGTAAAAGAAAAGCGCAAACCTGTGTGCACACACAACTATAGCATGTGTGGTAGGATAAAATTAATCACTGAGGTGTGTAAACGGTGTGAGATGTTTACAACTACTAGTTAGTGTCATAACTTTAGCGTTTCGCCTTGATTTTCTTTGCTTGTGTTTCCTGCCTTGTCAGATTCTTTTGATGTTGCCGTGTTCCAAGATCTCAGCAATTAACTTGAGTACAATGTTATAATTACTGAAAGGAATGATACTGAAGGGCTTTAAAACAAGGCCTGAGTTGCACTAAACCCGAATTATCCTTTGAGCTTACATACTACATACTGAAGATTGAGAGATGAAGTTCTTCCCCGTCAGAGGCAAAACCTTTGGAAATCTGGGCTGGTGACCATTTGACCATGTGGTTGCCATATTCCTTTACTAATAACACAGTACCTGATGAGGTAAACTGTGACTCTGAAAGCTGCTGAAATGTGATACCAAGCTAATAATGATTGTGTCTGACTGATTTGTGATTCTTTGTAACCTACAGAATCACATTACTGAACGAAAGGACACTTTGACATTTTGAACTTATTTCCATGTTTCATGCTGTGGGGTGAAAATATTTACTTTATTTAGCCTAGAAAACCTTGTTTGCATCATTATCACCCCTCAATGAAACTATATAAAGCTGCAGCTTGAAACAATTCACCTGAAAGATATTTTATACACCTAGCTAAAACTAATGCAGCCTCATACAACGGTCCTACAATAAATCCTCCCTTTGTGAAGATGATAATGTTCATGTACATATGCATAAAATTAAACACCTGTCAGTATAAACCACACATCTTCCAAAATCACTACAGTTGAACCAACACCTCTCTAAAACAGTTTCAACAAAAAATGAACATTATCACCCCATGACAGGAGGACTTGTTGTATTAGGCTGCATTAGCTTGGTGTAGTCAGTAAACTGCCAACTATGTGGTACATATTTTAAACAAGCATGAGTTTCTGGAGATGCTGGCATACATCAGCTTTCTGTCTTTTACCTCTGAAATCAAACAGATATGTAAGGAAATGCCTTACTGTTTTCTTGCCTTTTCAGTTTATATTTCAGGATAGTTGATGAGTGTGCTGTATTATAGCTAAGAGGGAAGAAAATGATTCCACTCCGCTGGTCAGATTTGATTCAGGAAACATTATCTGAGAGCATTGCAGGAAAAGTCAGGGGAAATGGAGGGATCTTGTAGAGAAGTCTTAAACAGACACCAAAGACTTGGCATGCCTTTTTCGCAAAGAATGAATATTTTGTGACTCCCATTTCTGTTTCTTCAGCAGCCCACGAACCCTATGCTCCCTTCAGCACAAACAAGCTATCAATCAGCAAGGCTTTTCCTGTCAAGATGAAGAATGCACTGCACACCCGTTTGCTAAAACTGATTCCTGTTTGCATGTTGAACCTACAGAGTGGAACTTATTGACATATGTGTTGCTTGAATCAGACACTGGCCAAACATATCCAAGGCCAAAGCGTGATTTTTTTTTTTAACATCCAGAGCACTCATAGGTGGGGAGAGGAATCAATATATCGATGAATCAACTCTGTCTAATCATGGCATTTGGGTATCTGATTTGTAGTGACTCCTACAGTACGGAGGAAGCACCTGCAAAAGTGAAAGCACAAACTTTACAGAAATATACTGAAAATCCGACAATACACGAATGAAAAGTCAAAGCACAAACACAAAGAAAACAGAGCAAATCCAAAAACACATACAACAGTCAAAGCACATGGCAAAAGAAATATAGGGATTTGCTCCACTGGAAGTGTTGAGCTCGATTTGGTTAGGCATCAACAGTGTGTCCCCCTCAAACTTTATGGCTGACTTTATGGTGTCAAAAATCACTCTGTACTCATGCACATCTATAGCAAATACTTTTTCCAGTGTTTTAATTTTGGATACGCTTTGATGTTTACATGTTTTTGGATTTGCTGCATATTTTCCTAATATTTGTGCTTTACTTTTGCATGCTTTTTTCAATTTGCAGTTTATTTCCATAATGTTTGTGCTTTGATTTTTGCATGTTTTCATATATGCAGCACATTTCCATAATATCTGCGCTTTGACATTTGTGTTGTTG